CCCCGTCCCGCCGGACCCCCGACGCCCAGCCCCGTGCGGGCGCCTTACCCTCTAGCTCCAGCCGCACGGGGGGCGGCTCGGGGGCCCGCTTCGCGGGGTCGGGGCCCGCCTGCAGGCGCCCCTTGATGTTGTACCGCCGGCGCAGCTTCCCCATGGCGCCTCAGTCCCGAGCTTCTCGCGGGGGCAGGACCACTGCGCGCCCCCGAGTTTGGCCCACGTGGGTACGCAGACCACCAACAAGCCGCGAGACTTCCGGGTCGCGCTCCCGCGAGAGCAGGGAATTACCGTGAGGTGGAGGCGGGGCCTGATGCTACGCGGGGCGGGGATAACAACCCTGGTGGGCGGGGTCTACTTCAAGAGGGCGGGATCTGCAGTCCCTGCTTGAGTTTCAACCGGAGGCGGTTGTAACGCCTTTCAAACTGAGTTTGCGAATCGGAATTACCTACTTCTAGTCAGGAGCTTGGAAAAGAGGGTTTATTTGCTTTTAAAATAAAACCTCTTAAAAAAATAAATAAATAAAATAAAATAAAACCTCGTGGTGACGTGAACTACATGGCGAGATCATGTCTTAAAGAGACAAAATCAAATCAAACCAAACCAAACCGAACCGAACCGAACCGAACCAGGGCCGGGGATATAGCTCAGAGGCACAAGCTCCTGTCTGGCCAATGCAGTGTCTTGAGTTCGAGTTCGATTCCTGGAACAAAATTAAAAAAATAAAATAAAACCCGTGCTGGCACTTGGGAGGCTGAGGCCGGAGGATCATTGCGAGTTCGAGACCAGCCTGGCCTACAAAGTGAGCTCAAGGCCAGCCTAAACTGCATAGCAAGATCCTGTCTCAAAAAGACAAAATAAAAAAATAAAATATAAAACCTGAAAAAAAAATATATGCGACCCCAATACAAACTTCCCCCATACTGCTAATCAGATTTTCTGGTTTTGCTACAGTACATGTGTGCACCACTACCAATGCATTAGTTGTATAGGCACCGGGTATTTCCATCACAGGACAGGTATATGGTGTGACAGAAGGCAGCTACTAGATTAAAACTCTCATTATGGCATTGCACTGCAGATAGAAGAGTTACAGCGCAATACTTTTTCTCTTAAATACATTAATTTGTTAAGGGCAAACGTTTATCTTCTCTTTTTTTTTTGAGCTAGGATCTCACTGCGTAGCCCAAGCTAGCTTTAAACTCGCGGCGATCCTCCTGCCTCAGCTTCCCAAGTGCTGGGATTACAGACGTGACCCACCACACCTGGATAAACCATTTTTTAATTTACTTTTTCTAGTTTTTTATTTTGTATTAACACCTGCTGCAGTACACATGATCACATTCCTGCTGAGGCTGATACATGAATATAACACATCTCCGTTCTGTTTTCACCCCCACACACACACACAAGGCCAACACTTAAATTATACAGCGGGGAGGGGATGTGCTAGGCCCAGGCCTGTAATCCCAGCATTTTGGAGACTGAGGCAGGAGGATCCCCATGAGTTCAAGATCAGTTTGACCTACACAGTAAGACCCTCTCTCAAAAAAATTTTTTTTTTGCTTTTCATTTTTTGAAGCAGGGTCTCACTATATAGGTCAGGCTGACCTTGAACTAGCAAACCTCCTGGCTTAGCCTCCAGAGTGTTTGGATTACAGGTGTCCACCACCACACTCCAGCTAGGAACTCCGTTTTTTAATTTTTTTTAGCCAGAGTCTCGCTGTGTAGTTCAGGCTGGCCTTGAACTCACACAGATCCTCCTGCCCTAGCCTCCCAAGTGCTGGGATTGCAGGTGTGTGCCGCCATGCCCAGCTAAATTTCCTACAGGAATGGAACTTGCAACCTCGCACTTGCCAGGCAGACACTGTTCCACTGAGCTATATCCCCAGCCCAGGAGCTCAAGTTTGAAAACCAGGTCCTGGCTGGGCTGCCCGCGGCAGTGGGGCCAGAACCCCACCTCTCCGGGGCTGACAGCAGCTCAGATGGCCCTCGCAGCCTGCGCAGTCTCTTCCCTGGGCGCTGCCGCTGCTCCGGGCCGCCTCTGGGCGTCCTCCACCCCTCTTCCCGCCTCTCCCCGCCCACAAGCTCCCCCGGCCCTGCTTGTATGGTTGGGGCAGAAGCTCATCAGGACCGCAGGCCCTGCACCCCGGATAGCAGGTCCCGATGAAGAGCTCACCTCTGAGGGGCGAAAGTTCGCCATGGGTGCATTTTTGGGGAGAGGGTGGCTGGTGCGGTGCTGCCAGTCCCGGAGCAACACGCCCACGTCTGCAGCGCTCCAGCCCCGGGAGAGCATCTCCAGGACCAGACCTCCAGGCCAGGGAAGCCGCGGCGCCGCCTGAGCGCCCCCTGGTGGCGGACCGCGGACCTCCCTGCACAGATGGGGAGACGTGAAGGCTTCTCTGTCCTGGGGGCCAGGGCCGGCTCCTGTCCTGCTCCCGCGCACCGGAACTTTCAGTGCCGGACTTGCTTGCCTTTGAACGCGAGGATCCTCGAACTGGCTCCTCCAACATGATACTTGGAGCATCTTGCCTCGCAGTTTAGAGATGCCCCCACCATCGGCCTCAGCGCAAGACCTGAGAGACAGGGCGTGAGCAGGGAGGGCCCTCCCAGCCCGCTACCGACCTCCCAGCCCGCTACCGACCTCCCAGCGAGGAGCTGTCCCGCCAAAATACCGCGAACACTCTCAGTTGTTTAGGAATCTGGGCCTTACGGTGGGATGACGGAGTGTCTCAATGTAAGGCCCAGATTCTTCAACAAAAAGTGCCCTCCCTGGGGTTCTTCTTAACATGGGACAGAGACACCCGTCCCCAAGGCGAGCAGAGGCAGTTCCGTCTGGGTCTCTAAACAGCTCTGAGGACTCTTTGGGAATGACTGGCTTCTGTCACTTGTGGACCCCATTTTAGGGGGTGCCAAAATAAGGCAATTGGGGGCCAGAAACTGAACCCTGGGAGTGTTCCCTGCTGTGGCTTGAGTCTATGTGTCCCTCCAAAGGCTCGTGCAGTCACTAGTGGGGCTTTTTCGGGTGGCTGGACCTGCTGTGTGAGGTGCTGGGATTAAGGGTGTGTGTGATGACTAAATCACTGCACTGATTGGTATGGTACAGTTCCGGGTGAATATAGGCAGAATATAAAGGGACAAAAGAAGCTGGCATTGTTGCCTGTAGCTTGGTGCCGTCTTGTCTTCTGCCCTGCTGTGGACTGTTTCTCCCCTGTGACAGCACTCGGCCTTGGAGCCAGCTGACTATGGACTGAACCTCTACAAACTGTAAGCCAAGGGGCTGGGGATTTAGCTCAGCAGCACAGCACCTGCCTGGCAAGCGCAAGGTCGTGAGTTTGATTCCTGGTACTGGGAAAAAACAAAACAAAACAAAAAAACAAACAAAAAACTACCCTAACCCTAACCTCCTTTAACTTTGGGTGTCCAGTGTTTTGTCTCAGCAGTGAGAAAGTTAACCAAGACATCCATCCCTTAGGTTGGGCCTTGATGCAGGCCCTGGTGTTAGAGATCCCGGGCCGAGGTAACCCTTTTTCTTTCTTGGTGGGTGAGAAGCAGGAAGTAACAAACCCAGCCTGGAAAACTGGCTGGTGGCTACTTTTCTAAGCCACTAGACGGGGGACAGAGGGCTGGCCCAGCTGCCTGTGAGTAATAGGGGTTACGGCATTCTTGGTCCAGGAAGCCTCTAAGATGACCGTGGGACAGAAGCTCTCATTCTAATCCCACACCATGAGAAGGTCCTGTACCAAACCCCCTGCAGAAGGTGTCAGTCTAACCCACCCAGCAGTACGGCACACGGCGGCATAATATAGACAGAGGGAGGGCCAGGGATATAGCTCAGCAGCACAAGCGCCTGCCTGGCAAGCACAAGGTCCCAAGTTCGATTACCAGTACAAGAAAAAAAAAAAAAGGAAATACAGACAGAGAGAAAGTTCTGCGGACAACTCTGGGATGACCTAGTGTTCTCTACGGAACAAAAGGCCACGAGTCTGATAGCTCACGGCTTTTATTGGTATCAGTCAGGGAGGTGGGTGGGGTCGAGGCAGAGTGTGTGGGAAAAGAAGCTGTAGGCAGTGGCTGTAAGGAGAAACAGAGCAGTTTTGGGCCAGAGATATAGCTCAGTGGCATAAGCGCCTGCCTGGCAATCACAAGGTCCAGAGTTTGATTCCCGGTACAAAAAAAGGAAGAAAACACCAGAGCAATTTTGTGCCAGGCACAGAGGCCTCCAATTAGCAATATAGGGAAGGTATAATTCTTTCTGAGTCCCATGGCCTCTGCTGAGATGTTATCTCACAGGCACCTGCTCGAGCCCCCATTCCAGCTATCGGCAGTGGGGGGCAGTTCTTGCCCGTGTGCTGTAATGAGACACACTGGCATTCTGGCCAGACTCCATCACATTCTTTCAGCCAATTAAGGGAACGTCTGTTTCAGTTTGGCCGGTTTTGCTTTTTTCGGGGGTTGGGTTTGAGTTGATTGCCGGGAAGGATGGGGGAAAGGGGCTCCATTTCTCAGGAGAGGGCAGCTTGGCGTCTCCCACAGTCCCATCAGGCTCAGGGGGCTTGTGGCTGGCTGGAGAACGCTCACTAACTGCCAGGCCACCCTCGTGGAAGCCCCAGACACCTCTTCTGGGTTCCACAGCTCTAAACCTGCCCTTTCTCCTCCCAGAGAACCAATGTGTGACACGACTGGGCCAGCCACCACGGGGAACCGCGCCCCCAGCCCTGACATGAGGAACCAGCCATTGGTGGGGTCAGCAAGCAGGGGGTTCACTGACAGCAGTGATTTCATAAAGCGGGGCGTCAGGCGGGCAGGTTATGCCGTGTCAGCCCCACCCGTGTCACTGAAGCAAGAGGACCCCCCCTGCCGGGACTTCCCCCTGAAAGTTAGAACATGTCGCCTTCACCAGGGCTTCCTATTTGCCAAGGAGGAGAAGTCAAAGGAGAAGAGAAACCCCCCGGGGAGCGGCTTGTTTCGTGTGGCTCCTTGTGCTATGTCCTGCTCCGCACCAGTCACTGCCGACGTGCTGGCCACAAGCGAGACCTCTGTGGGCTTGCTCTTGTCTTTCACCCGGGTCCCCTGTGGCGGCTCCAGGACTGCGCTCGGGGAGATGATGAGCGTCGATCACCCACACGGAACCGCGCCTCTGCCCTGCTGCTCTGGGATTCCCCCGAGCCCCCGCTTGGCCAGGTGCCGCTGGCTGCTGCGGCTCCCCCGTCTTGCAGAGGATACACTGCTGCACCCATCCCGGCTGGACTCCAGGCTGCTGGGCAGGTGTCCTTCCACCTCACACGTCGAGG